GCCGGCGCGGGCATGGAGCGCTCGCAGAGCCGCCTCAGCCTGTCCGCCTCCTTCGAGGCGCTCGCCATCTACTTCCCGTGCATGAACTCCTTCGACGACGAGGACGCAGGTGAGCTTGCGCCGGCTCCCCGACCCCGGGGGGCGTCCCGGGATGCCGATCCGGAGGCCCCCTCCCCGACCCGGTGCGTCCTTAGAGGTGGCCGGTCTTTCTTCCCCACCCCCTCTCGGTAAGGAGCCCCCAGGGTCTCCTTCCCCAGCCGCGGGACCCCAGAGTGTCTAGGATGCACTCTCTTCCTAGCCTTCCCCCCAGGGACCTCAAGATCATCCGCAGGTGGGCCCTTTGAGTCGCCTGAACCCAGCCCCCCATACTTACTGCGCCTACTGCATACTCACTACCTCTTCCCTGGGTCCAACCTGCCACCTACCCTGAGTCTGGTATATGTTCCCACTCTTCAAACCGCGGGGCTTTGGCCCCCTCACCCTGGGGCTCCGACGCGCCCACCGCCATTGGAGGTGGCGCGCAGACCTTACTTCTCCATCTTTGTCTTGGCTGCATTCAAAGGTTCTCTGCCCAAGACCCTCGCCCGGCGCCCGAGGCCTTGAGCGCCCCCATTTGTCTCTTCCCCACTTCCCCCACAGGCTGGGGATTCGGACTCCTGATTTTCATTGGACTGGGGCTGACCGCGGGGAACCGGCCAGATGACGGCCTTTCCTCCCCGGTCCTCCGAGAGGGAGGTATAGGGCGGCGCAACTCTACACTGGCGCGCCGGCGGTTGTGTGCCCCTGACCTCAGGTGCTCTTGTCCCTGGAGTAGCCCTCCTGGGTAGGCTGGACTCGGCCACGATCCAGTGGCTTGAGCCTCCTGCCAGGCCTGCGAACAACCTCAGCCAGAGCCCCATGGGCGGGAAGGGTCGGGAAACCTGCCTTTTGGGGCCCTGGAACCAGGGTAGGGGAACCTAAGAGTTCGTATCTGGTTCTGAGGTAGGGGAGAGGATCCAACAGGTGGGGTTGCTAGAGGGCTTGGGTGTGAGTTCCCCGGAGTGCCAGTCAGAAGCAGGTTTCAGTCCATTCTCTACTTGTTACCTGTGACCTTGGGCAAGTCATGCCACCCTAGACCCTCCATTTGCTCATCTGTGAAATGGAGATGACACTGCCTCAGACACAAGGTTCTATATGGTGTGAGGGTGGATTTCAAAGTGTTTTATGAGTTGAAAATCAGAGGGTATTTGAATTCAGTGTGGGGACAAAACAGGAGTGTATGTGGTGGGGAGGAGCAAAAGGTTTCATGGCCACTTTCAGGACTCTGGTGAAAATAGGGACTATTGATCCCAAAGCACACATATACATCATCCACAATATTTAGCCTACAGTTTCAAGGAGTTTGTGGACCCAGGTTTACATGTCCTGCCCTTGGTGACCCTTGTCTGAGTTGACCCTTGTCAACTCAGCCATCTAGATTCTGTCCTGGGATGGAGGCATGGGTGAGGGGTGCTCATGTCTGGCTCCAGCAGCAGAAAGGTGGCAGAAAGAGAGAAGGCTGTTCAGAGGAACATGTTGGCTAGAGAGTGAAGCAGACCCCTAATAGCCCTGTCTCAGTGTTGACCTGGAGGTGCCTGGGGGTAAAAATGGTTACTAGAGACCTGTTTTACCAAAGCACCCATTTTACAGAAAAAGTAACTGAGGCTTTGGATTAACCTCTCCCTTGACATAACTGAGAGAGATTGTATTATTATTCTAGACAAGGCAAGCTGAGGAGTGGAGTGTGTGGTTGTTCTCAACACAGTGGCCGCTATTAGAGCAAAATCAGAGGAAATCTAGCTTGAAGGTCTGGGGAGGGAGCAGCTACAGAGAGGGAGCTGGGGCAGGGGCAGAAAGCCAAAGTAGCCTAAAGGAGCTGGCTCCCTTGTGGGAGGATACTCTTCTGAAGTTCAGCAGGCTACTTGGGTCTCAAGAGCCAGGCTGGGCAGAAGCATGGGTTTATAGGAGTATCAGAGGCAAGGACAGTTTGGTTTTTCTCCAAAGTCATGCTCCATGTCATGGGTTAGACACCTTGATTATTGCAGGCTCTAGGTGACTTGCTCTGGTTTCACTTAAATCAGAACAGATAACATCATGTCATGTTAGCGTATTTTTAAAGGTCCACCTGATGTTTCTTTCCAGTGGATTTCTTGAAATTCTTTCATTTCATTTGGAAGAGACCTAGAAATCATCTTGTCCAAACTCCTTTTTGATACCAAATGGATAGGAGGGTGTGTGTAGTTTTGTGAGCATGGGTTTATGTGTGTAAGTAAAGCCCTGGGGTTTAGGGGCGGGCGTGTACATGTGTGCATGTAACCCAAGGTTATCCAGTGAGGCAGGCATAGAGCTGAGACTAAAATCAGGTTTCCAGTTCTCTTCCCAGTAAACCAGTAGCCCTTTCTCTGAAAGGATTTGTTTTTAAAAAGCCGGGTCTCACTGTGTAGAAAATGGTTCCCAGGTGAGGAGGCCTCAGGACGGGGCTGGAGGCCAAGAGTTAGGTTTGGGCATCTTTTGCTCACTGTCTGCACTTCTCAAGGGATGCTTTGAGTTTGGGAGAGGGAGGGGGGAAAGTCAACTTTGATTTCCGGAAGAATAATGAATGTCTGCTGAGAGCTGGAAGTAGGGAACATTGTCGTGGGGTTCTTACAGTTGTTAATTTTTTCCTAAAAGAAACCTTTTGGATTTATTGTTTTAGAACAGCACTATGCTGAACTAATTTCTAAAAGCAGTTGGAATGGTCTCTCCAATACTGGACATAGACTGCTTTGGCAGGAGGCTACCAGCAGATTTGGCTCCACCTGCTTCTTCCCCCATCTCTCCCCCTGGCCCTCTTAATGCCTGTCTGTCCCCAGTGGCTCAGAAGTGTGTCCTTGACAGGCCTCTGGCTCATCTAGGAGCCTCTCCTTTGTTGCTGCTTCCACCTCATGTCGAATGGATCTTTTTTAACAACTAGATTGAGCCAGAGCCATCTTCAGGGCTTATGTGTCATCCTTCAGCTAGTTTCCTGAGAAATGGTGTGAGGAGCAGACATTTTTTCATTAGCCTTAACTGGGGCAGAGCAGGTTCCTAATTTGGGTTTGAGATCCTTCACCATTGGGGTGGGCAAAAGAAGCTGCCCTTTCCTCCTACCCTCTCTAGCCACCCTTGGGCCCAGGATGCTGGTCAATGGGGGTCCCTAGAATTCCTCCCGAGGGGCACTTTGCCTTGTGCACTTGGAACTCATTTTTGATGATTCTGCTTTTGCCCCTTTTCTCAAGGATGCACTCGGAGGCATTTTTGTGTCTGTGTTCAGACTTGCTGATACGGGGCTTGTAATTGGGGAGGTTTGGGGTGGGAAAGACTTAGACTATAAACTCAGTTTTCTCATCTATAGGAGGAAGAAAATAATAGCCTGGACTGTATAGGGTGAATGTTTTTAAAATGATTACCTTCTGCTGATTACATATTCTGAGGCACTTTAAATATATTATCTTAACTTCTCATAGCAACCTTGTAAAACTAACATCCTGTTAACATCCCCATTTCCAAATGAGAAAACTGAGGCACAGTCATTAGTAATTCACTCAAGGTCACTTAGCCAGGAAGTGAGGGAATTAGGATTTGAACTTGGGCAATCTGACTCAAGCATCAGTGCTTTCAATTATTATGCTATTTGTGCTATGCAAAGGGCTTAGTACAGTCGCTGGCAGGAGGTAGGTTCCCTAGACATGTTAGCTGTTATCTGTCTTATTACCAAGTAAGAGTTGTTTCTGAGCATGACTGTGATAAAGAATCACTGGATTTGGGGAGGGGAGAGGCTGGTTTTCAAAATGTTAGCTTTATAATTTCAATAGGTTAATTGTATTGCATTGTTACAGGTATTAAGGTAGAGCTGAGTGCTCCTTCTTCAAAGTGGCTTAAAGGTAGAGATTTGGGGGGCTTACATGCCAAACAAACGGAGAATTCTGGCTGCCGTTCCCCTGCACTTCCTGACCAGTTCATTTGCACCAATCACGTCTGCAGTCCCAGCCCTGCCAGGCCGCCTTGGGGCATAGCTGGGGAGCTGGGGTATCTCCAATTTCCAGCAGATGCCAAAGGGGGTTGTTACATTGGGATCTGGAATTGGGGATGGTGTTCCTGAGCCTGATTAAGTGCTTTTGGCGTCCACTTCTCCCCCTCCCGCCTGGGAGAAGGGCGGAGAAGCTGGAGCAGCTAGCTCCGATTTGCCCATAGGATGGAAGCTTCGATCCAGTGCAGGGAGGAAGTTGCCATGGCAACACCAGCCGGCTACCGGTCCCTTTCCTAGCTGTTCAGGCCACATCTCTGGGCTGGAAAGCCTTTCATGGTACCACCCTCTTCCGCTCAGACCAAATTTAGTAGAGGGGGGCATGGTGATTGGGACCCACACACTGGTACCGCTCCCATTTTTGGACCGAGAGGAAATGGAGGGAGCGGTCTGAGTACTTCTGGGTTGTGGGGTGGTGATATCCATATTCTGCCAGACAGATCCTGGCAGGGGGAGTCAGAGTTCCAGTTCCTGTCCCCACCCCCAGGCACCTGGAATGACTGCACTGAAACCCCCCCTCCCCCCTCCACATACACCATTTTTTCCTTTGGCAGAGTTTTCTTTCCCAGGCCAAAAGCTAACTTTTGTCCTTGAAATTTGACCTGAGCTTTTTTTTTTTTTTTTTTTGGTAACAAAATGTCCTGCTGTCCCATCCCTCTCCCCCAAGATGGTGGGAACAGAATCCTTCAGCCCTAGGGGTAGGCTGACTGAGTAGATGAGGGGAGAGGCCTTAGAATAGCCTATGCTCAGGGCCACTTGAAGGAACCAGGTTGAGACTTTGAAGTCTGTACTCATACCTGCACCTCCAGGATAGGCCACTGCCTGCCCCCCTTCTTCCCTCCTCCCTACCCAGTTTACCCTGAGTGCTGTGATCTCTTATGTTTTGGAAGCAGAACCAAATTCTAGATTTGGATAACTGAAACATGGTAGTGAATTGAACCACTTGTTCCATAGCTCAAGATGAGGAGTGAGGGGAGAATGTGGACCCAAACTATTTTGTTTTTTAATCAAATTATCCTGAAAGAATTCTCAGAAAATTCAGGTGC